TGCCAATGTCAAATTGTATGCATAGTTAGTCTTGATCTAGGTTTTTTTCCAGCTCTTTAACAATGTTTTTAGTGATATAGTGACTTGAAAACAAAAAAGTGAAATTAATTCAATGAAATGTCTTAAAAGAAGAGCAGTTGTATGAGTTAAATTTTGTTTCCAGATTTTGAGAAATAATTGTATCAAGTTTGTAAAGTAGAGAGTTTATTTTTAGTATGGAATGGCTATGTTACATAGCACTTTTGGGGTTGTTATTGTGACAGTGACATTTTTGTTGCAAATGATAGAGTGATAAGCACAGTGAACCTTAGAAACATTTGTCCTTGGTCCTGTTTGTAGTGGATACAGTTCTAATTAGACCTCTATAGTTGCAATTCATGTTGATGTTCTCAAATAAGATTTTAATGTACATGAGAATGGAGCTGCCAGTCTCTGGACATAATTTCTTAAGATCATGGTTTAGGCTTTTATACCATACAATACATTTTTTTGCTACTGTTATTGCCCCATATTCCTTCTTCTTTTGATAAAGGACTTGTTTTTCACTGGACGCTTTTGAACAGTGTTAATTTTACCCAAAATTATGAAATGTCGTTTTTCATTACATGGAAGTTTTCTGAGGGAAGTGGTTTGCTTGTTTGTCTTGGCAATCCTAATGGTTTTATGCTTATTAAAACCAGAGTTACTAGGGTGTAATTTCTTAATAGACTTATGACAGGTCTGCAGGTAGGTCTGACTCATGTATATTATTGTGTTCTTAACTTTAGAATGCAGGTAATATACTCATTTTTTGAAACATAGTATTTTTAAACTTTCAGTATGTCATATCCTAAACTAACTGCAAATCAATGTAATATAAAAAATAGCAATTCTTCCAGTTCTTTATTTGTCTGCTTTCAATAACTTGCAGTACGCTTGTGGTATAGGCGGTGACCTCACATTTTTTAAGTCTAAAGCAAAACTAGATTTATATTCTCGGTGGATTTGCTGGTGCTCTGGAGTACAGAAAACAATGAGCAAATGATCCTAAATCTAATTAGAATAGAAAGTTTTATGTAGAAATGGATGTTTTCTGAAAAACCTTTTTTCTGGGCAAATAGGACAGAAAGTTCATGGAAGAGTAGTAATGTAAAACAAACTCAACATTGCTGTTCATTTTAGCTTCAGTATGACAAGTTCCTTTTATAGGATTAAAAGATTTTTCAGACAGTAGTTACTGTTTTTTATTAAACAGCAGTTAAGATTTGTTTGACAAAGTCATGCACAAATGCAGCTTCGCTGATCAGAAGGTTAAATGATTTCTGTCAGTTTTGTACTGCTGTAGCACTTGAATGAGAACTAAAACTGCATGGATGTGAGATTGTAAACTGTACATTGCCTTCTAATTATATGCTAATCTTATTATTTTTATGGTTTGATACAACCTGTAGGGATAAGCTACATTGCATGTAAATGGCAGTGAAAGCTAGCTCCTAATGGTCCAAGTGAACAATACTATGATTCTGAAGGTGGTTAGATCAGTTCAGAATCTAGATTTCTGAGTGCATTTTTATAAAGAAAGCTTTCAAGTATTTTAGAAAGTGAAATGTTACATACATTTCTATGTGTCACAAAGACAGGTGGCTGCTACAAGTACATTGAAACAGACAGCCTTTCAGTCATTGTAGAGAAATGCTTGTATTTTCCACTTCTGTACAGATTAAATGGTATAATTATGAAAAGGAAAAAGAATCTGTCTGAACTCTTTCTCTTTTTTTTTTTTTTTAAATTTACTTTGGTTTTATGCTAATCCGCAGAGTGTCATCTGTATCCCGAAATGAACCGCATTTTTCCTTTCTCTCTTCTCCTGGTTCTGTCCATTCTTGTTTCTATCAAGGTCTTTACCCTTTCAACTCAGGAAGAGTGACTGGGACTTGCTTCACAACTGTTTATTAGTTGGAGAAGTTGCTACTGAGCATAGAAAGGTACACTCTCTTCCTCCTAGGCTGATCTCTTTACTTTTACAGTGTTACCAGCTTGGAAAGCTAGAGATTCAGGATGACGATTGAGCCTGGGTCTAGTTTGTTTCTGGATCTAGCTAACTCTTGGTTTGTGTTTTACATGTGTTTTAAGAGTTTTCTCTGTCTAATTCAGTTTTGTTAATTTTTTTAAGTTATGGAGCGGCACCTGTGAACCTCAATATTAAGACAGGAGGACGGGCTTATGGATCTTCTGGTAAGAAAATTTACACAGTAATATTAATAAAAATGAAAAAAATGTTTGATTGTTTTGAATAAGGAAAATAATTTTAAGTTCCAAAATTTTTTGATAAATTTAAATCTGACTTTTTATTTCTATTTTAAGTGTGTTACAACTGTTAAAACTGTACTTGGTAGAGACAGAAGGCTCTAACTTTCTAACTTGTCTTCACAGGTGCAAAAGTTAAAGGCGTGGATCTAGATGCACCAGGGAATATTAATGGTGTACCCCTTCTGGAAGTAGATTTAGATTCTTTTGAAGATAAACCTTGGAGAAAGCCAGGTAATGCTCTGGTTTATATTAACTGATATGTAGGTATTAAGTAAATTATTTTAATCCTAATTCCCGTTTACTGCATCTAGATGTTCTCTACCTCATAGCTAGAGATACTGTACAATATAATTTGGAGAAAGCAGCTAAGTTACTCCTTGCCACTGTGCTGTGTGGGTGTGCCGTGTTTCTTACTGGATATTCCACACATATGTCAGTAAAAAGAGACTGTAGGACTTACTTTTTTTTTAAATACATGTCTATCCTGAACTCTCCTTGGAAGTCTGTACCTCTGTGGAGATTACTATTTTGATTTTATAAATAGAGGTGTGCGTATCTTCACTGAAGAAAAAATGAACTTTGTAATGCCATAAAAATCTATGTTTTTCTATTTAAAGGGGCTGATCTCTCTGATTATTTCAACTATGGGTTCAATGAAGATACCTGGAAAGCTTACTGTGAAAAACAAAAGAGAATACGAATGGGTCTTGAAATTTTACCAGTTACCTCAACCACAAATAAAATTACGGTAATTAGTACAACTTTTGTGGTATTCTACACGCTTTTTCCCCTGTAAAGCTGCTTGTGTGTCATAAGCTTGTTCTGTCCAGTTCAGTGTGTTTGTTAGAGGTTGTAGCTGACTCCCCACCTTGAGCCTTAGAGTGTTCCTGTGTTGAAATTTGTGTGGGTAGTGTGACAGACTAGCTACAGCTGGATTGCATCTGTACCAGTATTCAGATTGTGGCCCATCTCGTAAGAGTTTTATGGTATCTTAATGGGCAATGTGTTATTTAACTTAGGCTGAAGACAAGGCTATGGAAGTAAGACCAAGTGCAGAGATTCTCGATGGCAGATACCATCTTTTTAAGGTGAATTTTAGTAAACTTTTGTTGGTTGCTGTCATTTTTGTTGAGTATTGCTTCCCGTGCCAGCGCAGACCGATAGAAGAACAACTGAAATGGACGTAGCCATTATTTCAGACTCTCATCTTACGTCAGTGACATTCTGCATATGTCACAAAATGGTGATTAAAAAGTCTTGCTTTGTTCGTCACCTTTCTACGAGCATGTGAGTTAATGGCCTGGTGAACTAACCAGTTTCTCAGTGAAATTAATTTTCCTTTATGTGATGGTTTATTTTTAGTTGTAGTGCATTTGTTTGTGCAGATTATAGAATTTGTGCAGATGTGCTGGGGAAGCTTTTGTAGATTATGGCATGTTTATTTTTCCTGTGGCCTTTCAGCTCTTACTGTGTTTTATAAGACTTATCCTTGGCAACTCTGAGATTTGAAAATCAATCTTCCATATTTTTCTGTTGGCCTTTGGGAATTAGATGGCAATGAATCAAGTTATATATAATATTTTTCTGTTCGGAAATGCTGATTTTCAGAAAGCAGAAAAATCTGTGTGACGGGGTTTATCTTAAGGATTGAATGTTGGGGTTTTTTTCAACTTCTCATTTTCTCATTTATTTTTTTGTTAGATGCTAAAGTTGAAATTAGAATACAAAGGTTATTTATTTTGCTTATTTGCAATGTACAGGTATTTTTATTTGCCCTCATATGCTACTGGAGGGTATCCAGTCATTTTAACTTTTTCTTAGCAAGAACAGATCAGAAGCTCCCTGGGGCTTTTTGCCTTTCTCAGTTATCATTATAATAGTGTTATGGAATGGTGGAAACGGTGGGCAATGGGAGTTACTGTTTGCAACTGACTATGCTTAAAATTTCTCTGAACTGATGTCCTGAAGGGAGAAGGATAAGAATTCCAAAGCAAGGTGTCTCCTATTTCTGGCTCGGTATTGACTCTCTGGCAGTCCCGTGATCAACCAGTACAGATAATAATTGTGTTGTAAGAGTCTGAAGTAACAGTTTGTCATGTATTTTGTATAGAGTTTACATATAATTATTAAATAATTTCATTAACTTTTTTCCACTCTTCTGAAATACTAAGTCTCGTGTAACTTACATGATATGTTTGGATTAATGTTCTGTAACTGGCAAGACTTTGTCTCTTACATTCTCCAGTTATTAATTAATAGAAGTCTTGCAGAGTTTTTGGAGTTTTAAATGCTTAAAACAAACGTCGTCCCCTTAGGTCTTTTTTTTTTTTTTTTCTTTTTTTTTTTTCCCCTGTTGGTTCGTTCTGGCTTACCCTAGGAAAAGAGGTGTTGTATGAACTTCTACAGAGAGCCAGGACAGCAGCCTCTGCCAGTGTCCTTGTGCTGGCACTCTGCAGCTCTTGGAAGATCCTCTTATCTGTGAAGAACAGGCACCACGTGTGGACCTGGTCAGAGCCCTGCTGGGTTGGATGGAGAGCTAGGTGGGACCCCTCTCAGTTGGCCCAAACCTACTGGTCCCAGCAGCTCTTTTCTCTGAGAGTGTTATGCCAGGAAGCATTGAATTGCACTTTCTCAGAAACACAACTCCTCAGGCAACTGCTGGCTTCATCCTTCCAGACCTCACTTCAATCCCTTAAATAAAGCTGTCTTTTTCTCCTTGGGCTGTTTCTTTCCTTCGCACACTGAGCACTTTGTCACTCTGTTTGCTAATCCTGAGCAATTTATCACACCTCCCACAAAGTGAGGATGTGAGGTGTTTTCTCATGTCCTGAAAAGCACAGTGCGTGTCACCACAGAGTGGCTTTGCTTGAAGAAGTACTGTATTTCACACCCTCAGTGCCATCGGCACCTGTGAATTAATTTTAATGTAGGAGAATTTGCTGCCACAGGGGTGGTCACACGAAGGTGAAGGTTCTATCTAGCAATGTACCAGCTCCTGACTCTGAGATGGGTGCTCTGCTCCAGTATCTGTGTTTCCACCAGGCACCCTGAGAGCCTAGGTAAGTGTTACCCAGCCTGGGCCTGGATATTGGGACTTTTAACTGCACCTTTTTCATAGCGCTTCAGGCAGAACTCACTAAATAATGTTCTTTTGCCAAAAATATTGGAGGCCTGGAAACTCCAGTTTGTTTTTGTTTTTTTTTTACTGGGAAGCAGAGGATGCTGTTGCAGAAAAAAATCTTTATTTGGTTGGAAACACACTGTCCGCCAAACATTAATTTAGTTGTTTGATTTTTTTTTTACCAGTCCTGTCTGAGTGTGATGGAGACATTAACCCTGTTCCTTGAATGCTGGCCAGTTTAAGGTCCTTTTTAGTTTAGTCCCCCCTATTTTTGTGGGTCTTCAACATTCTCCCTGTCATTTGCCAAGAGCCTGGTCGGTGACTGAGACTCCAGGTTGTTAAAAATATTCACCCAACAGAGAAAATGTGTCCCAAAATGAACAGCAGTGCTGAAATGGAGACATCCCTCTCCTCCTTTCATGGCTGCAGGGTGAGTTGTAGCAGACGAGCTTCTCTCTGGGCTGTGAATGTCCATCCAGCAGAGGAGCTCAGGCTGCAGCATTACAGCAGCTTTGCGTACAAACTGCCCACTGCCCCAGCTCTTACATAAAACAAGACAAGTGGGGAGAACGGTCCTGCAGGGAGACGCTTGGGACAATAAAATCATCTCAGGGCAGAGAGGAAGCAGGGATTATTAAATAGCTTTTTATAGATTTTGAAAACTGGCCAGATCCCAAGGCTCGGCAGTTTCAGCTAAAGGCTTTAACTCAGCCTACGTGAACTGGGGCCAGGCGGCTGAGGCAGCTGAGCTCTCTGCATGCTCATTCCTGGCAGAGAGGCTGCCTCCTCTCTGTCACTCTGCTGCTGCCCCTTGCCACGTAGGAATGGTGATGGGCATCAGCCAAAGTCCCTCCATGGTGCTCTGGGCTGGGAGCAGTGGTTTGTGTTCCACCTGTGTGTGGCAGAGCAGAGGGCACCACACAGCTGGTGCCTGGAGGTGCAGGTCGGTCACCGACGCTGGTTTGGTGGGCTCCTCGGTCCCTTCCTCCTTGCTTATGGCAGCAGACCTGCAGAAGCAGGGGCTTTTGTGCTTTTATGACAATGCTCAGCTGGTGGCCTGAGCAGATGTGTTCCTCTGCCGCCTCCCATCACATGTGCCATCCAGCTGCTCTGCCATTTGGCCTTGCATCCAGAAACCCAGCATTGTGTACAGCCTTGTCACCACTGTCCCTCTCCTCGGGGAAAACAGTCCACGTCAGAGCCTGGACATGTTGTTTGGGACCTCGTGGGGCAAGCACAGCACGCGTGCTCTGGCTAAATTCTTATTGCCTCTCACAATTTGATCATGAAATGTCCTTGCAAACCTTGTTGCCGTTGGTCACTTCCCCAAGACTCCAACTGCTGGAACAATTTAGAGTTTCAGCTTTCTGTTTGTCCAGAGGAAGTTGTAGACTTTGCTGCTATAAGCCTGAAAACATGAGCAAAAGGAGTCAAGGGAGCCCCAGAACAAGCACAACGCTGGCATCGAGACCCTGCTCCTGCCAGGGCCTCAGATTATCGCTGCGAGATAACCTGTTGTGAGACAGCGCAGGAAACAAGGCGCAAAGAAGCAGCCTGCAGTCTCCATGGTCATAAAAAGCAAACCCAGCACATCGTCTTTCGCTTTAAGCTGCTGCTGTAGCTCTCCCGAGGGCTCTGAGTGCAGGGGTATGAGCTGTACCCCCTGCTCCTCACCCCTGGGGGTGCCCAGCCCCTGCAGTCAGACCAGTCCTGTCCTGGGCTTCTGCTGAGGTGACCAGTGAGGGGCCAAATGTGACACTGCTCTTCATGCAATAGGCAAGGCTGTTTAATAGTAAAAGGTTTGTAGATCCTGCAAAAGATAGCGGTTTCCTCCTCCCTACCAGCTAAATCTGATATACTTTCTGAGCAAGAACATGGTCCAAAATCTTTTTCTCTTCCCTCAGGTGCAACTTTTGTTTCCGTGGATGTGATGCTGTTCCTCCTGCCAGCTGCCACCTCTCTCCATCGCAGCTTCGTTACACGCTTCTGCATGCCCTTTAGTATGAGGAAGAGGAGGCTGAGGGGAGACCTCACCACTCTCTACAACTCATCAACAGGACACTGTAGAGAGGTTGGTGCTGGTCTCTTCTCACAGGTAATTAATGGCAGAACAAGAGGGAACGGCTTCAAGCTCCAACAGGGTAGGTTTAGACTGAACATTAGGAAGGAATTTTTCACAGAAAGAGTGGTCGGGCATTGGAACAGGCTGCCCAGGGAGGGGGTTGAGTCACCATCCCTGGATGTGTTTAAGAACCGTTCAGATGTGGTACTGAGGGATATGGTGTAGGGGAGGACTTTGTAGAGTAGGATAGATGGTTGGACTCGATGATCCCAAGGGTCTCTTACAACCTGAATGATTCTATGATTCTATGATTCTAATCCTTCAGCTGCTGGATGCTCCTAAAGCAGCCACGGTGCTCACCACCCCATGGTGGCTGAACGGGTACGTGACTTTATGTGCAGCCTGTAAAGGACTCCTGTTTACTCAATGAGAATGAGCAAGCTGTCCCAGATTTGTTAATTTCAGTATCCCTCACCTAAAATGATCCTAGATGAGAGGCTTTAAATAAACCAGCTCTGGTTGATTGCTGGTGCAATTCTTCACAGGAGCAGGAGGGGAGAATATCTCGTCACACCTGTGTACACACTGGTAATTGACATTTGATTTTGTTTGTCCTGCAGGGAAAACAAGAGTCGATGCTGAACGGCTGGTGGCCACTTCCTGCGCAGCCCTGAACAGCAGCACGTGGCAGAGCCTGCTTCACCAGAAGGCACTGAAATTGCTCAATGACCTCTCTTTTCCTGATTGCTGCCCCATCCGTGCAGAGCGGAAAACTTCCTGCCCGTGGTTTGTGTGCAAGAGGCAACAACGTGTTCTCAGAAATCCCAGAGGAAACTGCTGACTGTGATTCTAAACCCTCATAAACTGCAACGAAGCCCACAGCAGAATGCTTTGCTGATATCTTGTCCCAGCCCACTCATGCGACTTAGGGGTGCGAGAATGAGAAATTAGTCCAATGAGTTGGACTCTTTCAAATACTCCAGCCAATAATGTTATGTACACGTTTGCTTCTCCAGGTCTCACTCTCTAGACTGCTCAGCAAACTTGCTTCTCCCCGGCTGCCCAAGTCTTGCTTTATTCCAGCCTGAATTTGCTTATTACAGTCATCTTGGCCTACAAACTCCTTCAGTTTCACAGGGTTTCTGTTGCAGTTTCAAGAGAAAACTGAATTACTACAGCTTTGGCGTTGCCACTAAATAGGATTGGGCCCTGTCTTTTTTTTTTTTTTTTTTTTTTTTTTTCCATGGGGTATCTCAAGGAAGCCATTGATGCCAAACAAAATAGTAATAATTTAGTCAGGACAACCTCTTCTGTTGAGCCAGGCTTTAATCAGCACTTATTCATACTTCCTTGCTGGTGATAATGCACCCCCCCCACCGACTATGTGGTACTTCTTTCAAAGAAAAAGGAGCTAACTGGATATTCTGTTCAAATCCACCCAGGACAAAGCATTTTTTATTCCATAAATTCTCTAGTTCAGCTTACAGTATTCTCTTACACTTCCTGCCATCACCTATCATGTGTATCAGTACTGTTTACTATGAGAAACCACTGCCTGGTTTTGCCTCACAGGAAATCATTTCTGTGGTGAGGCCAAGGATTAGTTGTGCAGGTTGCAACTAGGCCCTTCACTTAATTACTATGGCCAACGGCAGCTGTCACCACACCTGTACACCAGTTACTGTATATGCCATTTATCTTACACCTGGGCTTTGCAGTGAGCCCAGTCTGCAGACACTGAAGCCTGGGAGAAATCTATTCACTTGAGCTGCAGGGAAGTTATCAATCACTGGTAATTTAAATATGTCTACGGTTCTTTATTGGTCTTTGTAATGAACTGTGAAGCAGAAGTGAAAGACAGACAGTGGTACAGTCTGATTGATAGCTTTTGCTTCATTTAGTTCCTGGAAGCAAACGAAGGATTGCAGAAAAGAGCCAATGTGGGGGTGTGTTTGCTGTCATCAAAGGGCTAAGAGCTGCAATGGCCTTTTCTGTAATCGGGACGAGGTGGAACTGTACCTCCTTGGACAAACTGACAGGTATATTCTGCTGTCCCTAATAGGCTTCTAACAAAGGTGGATGTGCAATGTGAGTCTCTAATCCTGCCTCTGGGTGCTCTGCGATACAGGGAGAGCATCTGCTTCTACCCCAGCCCGGGCTCGTTGCAAAGGAGGAACTGTAGCGTAGGGCTCCAGCCCTGCTTCTCGGACAAACTGTGAGAAAGTGAGAGCATCTGCTTTCTTTCCTGATCGGGACTTTCGCTCCAGGAAGAGACCCATGTTGTCTCTGTATGGGAGGGCGATGGATCTGCTGAAGAGAGGCTCCTCAGTCCCCAGCAACTCTCGCACATGTCGTGAAATCTCCTGAAATACAAGACAAAACACCAGGAATTCTCATTTCACAGGGCAACAGCTAATAGCATTCAGTCTGTGTCAGAGCAGCAGGAGAAAAAAACAGAATTTCTGAATTTTGGAACAGTTTCACACTTGAAGTTGCAGCTCGAGGGAGATCTGAACCCATGAACCCGAGTGACTTTGTAAAAGCAGAGCAGACTGGTCATTGTTCAGCTTTACTGTGGGGTATGGCATCACATCTGGTCTCTTAGTAGCACAAATAGCCCTGCTTTCCTTTTTGCACTTGCAGAACAAACAAGTTATGGGTGAATGAGCTGGAGTCTATTCTGCCTAATGCAAAAACATTGCTGTTTGCTGAGTTATATTATCAACAACAGAGTCTATACACAGAAGAGGTGGAAAAACTAATTAAACCGATCATACTGCTCATTAAGAACATGATGGGTGACTGGCTGTCTGAGCCAGCTGGACCTGGAACTGTGAGCGAACAGAGCCTTGCCACTATTTTTTAAGTCACTTTTGAGAATGTAACCTTCTGATTTGACTGAAGCTTCAAAATACAATTCACAAGGTTTTACTGGTCTTTCACAGCATTGGCTCAAAACCTTCCCCCAACTTTGGCTTGACTCTGAGGAGCAGTACCCTACTTTGTGTAATAGCAAAAGAACACCAAACTAGTATCTTCAGTGGCTTTGATACTTGAAATACCACTACGGTGGAATTAAAACCAGCAGTAACTTCACTTGTCCATGCTGCATAGTTTCCACATAAATAACTGTGTAGTTCTCTGCCAAACTGCCATTTCCCCTAAACTGCAAAACGTTTCGGTCTCACTGAGCTGATACCATCACATTTATTTCTATAGTAACTATCTCAGTTTCAACTGTTCACAGCCTTTCATCAGATCTCTTGTTGGGAAGCTGATGTGCCCAGGATCATGGCTTTAACTTTGCACCTGCTCCAGTACAAACTTCCCGAAAGACCTGAAGGGCTCCATCCTGCTCAGAGCTCCTCGGGCTTGGATTCTATCAAAGTTCTTTAAAACACAAATAGCTAGCAGGATAGGGCATGATCCTCAAGGATATCTGGGTTCCACTGAAGTCTGTGAGATGTTCCCAATGTGCTTGCAAGCTTTGGAAAACATTGCAGACAGTCTCATTTCCAAGCTTGCTGCAGCATACTGGCTACTGCTTATCCTGGCACTGAGGAAATTCAATTGCTACAGGAGCAATAGATTATAGTTGATATCTGCAACCCATGGCTTAGTGTTTCTCAGGACTTGAACTACCACCATACGTAACCCCTATATCCCAATGGGAGGGTGAGGCTTACAAAGTCTATTAAATTCTCACCATCTTTAGCAAGTGCAAGTGACTATAAAGGCTGTATCTGCTTGTACTAGAAATACTCTTGAAGGGCTGCCATCTGAAAAACCAAGTGTTGGAATTGGATGCCTTCTCCCTCAACCAACAAGCAAAGTCATGGCACTAGTCAATGTTTTCAGTGATATATTTTGTTTCAAACAAACAGTTAAGATTGTGCAGCCAGACAGAACCATGGTGAAATTGCTTTCTGGTGCTCTAGAATAAAACAAATAGTGTTCTATTCTGGTCGTTGGAGCATAAAGATTTTTCTCTCTTCCTGGTTATTTGAACTTCTATCTTGTGTCCCCCGGGGAAACCAACTCGAAATCATTTTGTGAAACAAATGATTTGGCTCTGTAAATGCAGCCCCAAGTCCCTCTGTGGTTTCCATTAGGGAGGGGAAGGAGGGTAATAAATTTTAAGTCAACTTGCTTATTTTCTGAACCTTGAGGAAGCTTTGGAAGGCCAGACTGTAGCCCCAAACTTCAGTCTAGTTAGCTTATCTACCAGTGTTTGTTAAAGAAAAGATGTAGGTTTGAAAGGAAAACAACCACACAGTTTACAAGTTTATAAAATGATGAAGAGGTGGAGATGCTGTTTGTATTCAGTAAAGTGTAAAACAAGGAAGTAATAATGAGTTCCCCTTCTGCTGCTTGAGATCAGTGGTTCAACTGCTGCAGGTTAAATCCGACCAGATTTTTAGAAGATTTACAAATCAGTAAGTGGAAAATTTCTGAAAAGAAATTCTGGGGGATATCCACGAAAGGCACGCATGCGTCTTGCTAAGCAATTTCATGGGGCAAGAAAAGCAACATAGGCTTAAAGAAAAGCTAAGCACTTCCGATGCACTTAGGGTGTCCCAGACAGGAAGCCTGCTAAGGATTATACCTGAAAAGACTCAAGGAACCTAACTGTTTGAACAAATTCGGTTGCTCAGTTCCAGGCTCCCTGTTTGAACAAGCAATCTGCCCGGGTGGAGAGGCTATAGCCTCGCTGATCGCAGGCAGAGAGGGTCAGAGCTGGGCCGGGAGGGGCTGAGGAGGGATCTCGGGGACCTGCATGTGGCCGAAGTCCGTGACGCCGATGGCGGGCAGCCTGGAGCAGTCCACGAGGATGAGGCGGCGGCCGGTGATGCCGTTGGCCCTGAAGCATTCCTAGGCAGGAAGCGGAGGGAAAGTCGGGTGGGGCCGCCGCCAGCCGGTCGCCCTCGGCCACTACCGCCCCCCTCCCTGTTCACACACGCTCGCACACGCACACAGAGCTCAGGGCCCCCGGTTCAGCCGGCCGTTCAGCCGGAGGCTCCCCGCCCGGGCCGGCAGCCCCGCACCTCGTACTGGGGAAAGCCGAGCCGCACCACCCACTCAGCCACCTCCGCGGCGCTCCAGGCCAAGAAGGGGAGCGCGGCCCGCGGCCCCTCCGCGCCCTCGGGCTCGGGCTCCAGCCCCTCGGCCGCCCCCGGCCCCGCCGGCGCTGAGCTCGGCTCCATCGGCGCCGTCCCCAGGTAACGCGTCCTTCCGGGCCTCCGTCCCCATGGCAACCGCCACTTCCGGGAGGCGCACCCCCTCTTCCCTTCCGCCACCCCCTCCGTGCTGCCAGCCTACTCGGCCGCCCGCGCCCGGGGGCTCTGCGGAACTAGTCTTGGATTGGCTACATTGCCGAGGGGGGCGGCTGAGGGCCGAACACGGAGGCACCGCCCTCTCCCTTCTGCCGGGCTTACCGTCCCCCCGCTCGGCTGTTTCCGCCGCCGGCAACCGCAGCGCTTCGGCCCCGCTCGGCTCTTTCCGCCGCGGCGGGCTGCCGCCCTCGGTTCCGCGCCCGCCCAGCCCTGCCCATGTCGGACGTGCCGCCCGCCGCCGGCTCCCGCCTCCAGCCCCCGGCCGGCGCTGCGCCCCGGCTCCCCTCAGGTACGGGCTGGGCAGGGGAGGGGGCAGCTGGGCTGGGGTCCCCGAGGAGGAGCACCCCCGGCGGCGGGGCGGCGGGCCGGGCAGTGCCCGCGGGGGTTGCCGGCGGTGAGGCGCCGGGCCGGGGCGGGAGGGGGCCACCTGTTTTAGCCTTGGCCTTACGGGCGGGAAGAACGCCGCCGGTTTCCCTTCCGCGGTGGGCTCCCTCGCTTCTCCCGGAGAGGAGCCTCATTCCTACGGTGACCTGTGAGGAGCAGCGGCGGGAATTAGTCCGTGGCTAACGTTGGCCACCGTTCGGCGTGGGGCGGGCTGCGGTGCCCTGAGGGAGCGGGGCTCCCGCCGCCGCGCACCCCCGCTCCAGCGCCCGCAGCTCCGGTGGTTCTTCCCTGCGGGGGGAAGGACGAAGGTTAATGGAGGTTTCCAGGCGCTTTCCCCCCGGGGAGGGAGGTCCCCGTGGGCTGGAGGTGCCACCCAGCTCCCGGTTGACTCTGGCGGCTGTCAGGCGTACCATCATAGAATCGTCTAGGTTGGAAGGGACCTTAAAGATCATCTAGTCCAACCCTCAACCTAGCTCTGACAAAAAAATAAGAAATAAGCAATAAAAAAATCACCAAACCATATTCTTGAGGACCATGAAACCTCGAGGACCATCAGAGAGCGGAGAAAGCTGCAGCTGGTCCGTGCCCAGCCCGCTGCCTTCCCTGCGAAGTTGGTACACCACAGTGGTAGGGGGACAGAGCTTTCCCAGAGTTCAGGAGACTCAGGGGAGACCATCCTTACGGACAGTCCTTTTAGCAGTGACCTAGGAATTTCCATCTCGTCAGTGCCCTGTGGGAACCGCTACCAGATTGCTTTTCCCAGGGCTTCGTCACCCGGTTTTACGTGATGAAATCCGGCCTTCTTCTGTCCTCCTAAAGCCAGGATTGGTGGTTCAACCAACCCTGCTTCTAAGAGTGGCTCTGCACCAAAACCATCTGTGGGTTTTTGTTTGCCCTTTCCCAGGGTTGAGATGACTAAAAATCTTTGTTCTGCAAGGTGCTAGACACAGCTCGTAACACGAAAAACTGGTTGGCACAGCTCTTCCTTCTACAGCTGTGTGACTTTGTCAACATTTGAGTGCTGGCTGTAGTTTTCCCTCCTGTCTGACGTTTATTTCACCTTCTCTCTGTATATTCTGTTTGTTGTTAGAAAATGAAGACTCAGCCCGAAAGACAGAGCCTGCAGATCAGCTGGTTGATCCTTTGGAGTCCAGTGCTTCACAGAGCAGGTAGGAAAATATTTTTGTGTGTTGTGGCTTACATGCATGACAGTCTGTTTCACCCCTGTGACCTCCTCCCTTACGGCAATCGATGCTTTGTAGGTGAAGAGAAGGAACTGGAGACTGAATTGTCTGCTTTGGGACAGTACATACCAGAATCAGTATAGGAGGGGCTGTTCTTACAGGCTTAAGGTTGTTTTAAAGCTTATGAAATGACGAAGTGTAGTTCATGGCTCAGCTATTCAAATCACAGAATCATTCAGCTTGGAAGGAACGCTGCAAGGTTTTGTAGTCCATTGCAAGAGCTAATAAACTTTCAGCAGAAAATTTTCTCTATCCTGTCTGAAGGATACTTTAATAACTAAGCATTCCCACTGTCTATAATTCTGATGGAAGCTGAGCAAGAAAACACCTTTTACTGTTTTCTTGACAATGTCTCGATTTTTGTCTTCACCCTTTGTTTTCTGTGTCACTCCTTCATTAATGCTGCTGATTAACTCTGTTATCAGATGTTTGGCTCGTTATTATATCTGCTGGGTGTGTGGTGCCTGTGCCCGAGTCACTGCATTGGTCACAAGCATTAATACTGTAAGCAGTGGAGTTTCATTTGCCATCATATGTTTGTTGCACAGGATACAATTTCAGAAATGTGTGAGTTAATTACGTCAGACAGCAGATAAGCCACAAGCTCATTAAAAAAGGGGGTGGGGGAGGGAATTCCAGCAAAAGCCCCAGCAAACCACCTTACTTCTAAAAGAACAGTTTGATGCCATCTTGGCTTGATGCTAGTGACATCTGTATCAGCCTTCTTGACTCCAAATGCATGTTCTTCCATTTCTTTGTTACGGCCTCTAATTTTCTTCAAAGAGATTAATGAAGCCAGTGAGCAAAATGGCCTCTGTGGAACTACTCTTTGATTGGCAATGCAGCCAAGGGGGGTAGCTAGATAAAATCTGTACCCTCACAGGAGTAAAGATTTGGAAACAAAAGCCACATTTGCCCTGTCCTAGTCTTCCTTATGGATACAGCAAGGAATGTGTCTAAGTTGAACTGTGTATGGGTTTTTTTACATTATTTTTTTCAACTATTCTACATTATACTGATAGTCTGGTCCCTTGCTAATGAGAATATTTCCCATTTCTGAAAGGAGACATTTGAGGAAGTGCACATATTTTCCATTACTGCTGCGTTCTCGTGTCCTTTAGACCAAAGCAGTTGACATTGGTTTTATAGTGCTGTATGAAGGCTTTGCTTTTCAAAAGGGCAACTGTTCCTATTCTTATTAAAGACTAGGTTGCTTCTCATGGCAGTTTCACATAATATCTGTGAGTACAACAGAGGAGACTCTTCTGGCATCCATCTCAGTTCATTTGGGATGATAACTCTTTCAAGCTGTAGATGATATCCAGCATTTTTAAAATATAATTTAGAAGAAAACCTTCAACAAAGAATGTCTGTCGAAGATGTTTCCTTTCTTGTCTATTCTTTCCCTGCTACATACCTATCTTTTTGTTCTAACGTGTCCATCTCCTCTTGTCACAGTGCAGTACTTGGACCTCTTTGCTATTATTGTGCAGCCATTGTATGTTTTACGACTTGCTTGTCTGTGCAGCATATTTGAATATGGCAGAGAGATAACTGAGTGCTCCCTGTGTCTCTTAAGATTGCTAATAGGAAAGGCATAAGGGGCCACATAAGTAGAGGGCATTTTCAGGATGGCTGTTAAAACTGGTTTGAGTCCTTTCACTGATCCAGTTGACCTCTGATGGAACATACAGGTGTTATGTAGTGGCTGGCATGAAAGAAGTCCTTTTATGAGCATAAAAGTTGCTACTGATTTCTGCACTTGGTGCAGTGTTGGTGGGCCAGCATGCTGTGGAGTGAGTGCGGTGAATTACTGCTGCCTAAAGCATGGTAAATATGGAGTATCTCACTGAAGTTCCCTCTGGTTCCCATGGAAGATAGTCACATGGAAATGAGGGCAGGACTGGGGTGCAAAGGGCTCTTTTTGCACTGGGGAGGTGCTGACCACAGAAGCTTGTTCCCTTCAGTTCATCTGAATTCGAGTTTCAGAGCAGAGCGATTCCTCTGCTGGCTGTGCCCTGGGTGCAAGTGCTGAATTGTAGTGCTCTCTTCCTCTGAAAGGTCGCAGATTGGGTCCATCGTGAGTGCGGGCGCGACAGAGGACTCGAAGGAAGAGGCTGGCACTTTGGAGGACCGGGAAGTGGCTGAAGTCGAAGAGAAGCTGCCTGACGAAATCCAGTCCCTCAAAGAGGTAGGTGGGTGTTTCTTTTGTCTGAAAGCAAGGACAGAGGTGCAGCAACAGTTCTTCCACCCTACTGTGCTTATGGCTATGGGACTGAGGCGATAAGGATTGTATTAATACAGAAGTAGTATTAAAATAGATTCAGTTATTTTTTTTTTCCCATACGTTAGTGGGAGGTAAGCATTATCTGTCTGATTTGCACAATCCCTCTTGCATCTTCGGCTAGTCCTCGCTTCCTTGCAGTTTTTAGCTCGTTAAGGCTTCAAGGTTATTCTCACCTTCTTCTCGCCTCTTGTCTGGAGCTCCTGGGAGATCCCTCCTTGCAGATTTATGGAAGAGGGTACTGAAAGTGCGATTCTGCCATCTTTTGGTTTTTTGGTGAGCAGCCAATTCGTTTGCATTAGAGGTACGGTCAGGAAAACCTGTGCAAGTGGCACCCAGCTCAGGAGCTGTGAGTTTGCATATATGAGAGAGGGCTGGCCCTGGTGAACCCGATGGACTTTTAACTAGGATGCAGCAAATGGCATTTAGGTTGTGGCTGTAGTCTAGATGCACACAGAGCTGAAAGGCTGTCCCTAGAGAGATTGTGTCTTGGGAATTCTTTGCAGGAGTAGTCAGCTAAATCTGTGAGGCTGTTGTTGTGTTGAGAGGTGAGGATTAACTCTGAGGCAGATGCAAAGATGTGCCTGCCTGGGGGCTCTTGGCGAGGCCAGGGGGCATGTAACTGGTGAGACAAACGCAGCATTTGACTTCAAAGTTCATGACTTTGGTACTGTGAGGGAAATAATGCAGAGAGGTGTCTCAGAGCCACTCAGTTCTTTTTAACTAACAGAATCTTCTGTAGGGTCTGACTTGTAATTCAGGCATCTTTCTGAAGCCTAATGAGTCGCTTTAAATCCAGCTGGGGACTTTCTTACCACAATGGTCTTTGTGACAACGTTTATGTGCTTTGTGCAGGAGGCTGCTGTTCGGATAAGCAACTACCATGTACTTCAAGGAGCAGGGGATATAGTAATGATTCAGTCAGATCACACTGGTGCTGTGGATATCCTTTCAGCTGAGCTGGAGACTGCAGACCTCCTTGGGGAGCAGAGGAAAGGTGAGTCCTGAAAGGAAAACACTTGCTGGGGACACTTTTTAAGTGCCTGCCCTGGCTAGAGAAGAGCAGAAGCTCTCCTAGAAATGTGCTATTTCCTGCTGGAAATTTGGGCTTCTGGCTAGCGAGTGGGGAAAACCTCACAACGAAGCAGGCTCCAGAATGCAAAAAAAACCTTTTCAGAAATAGCTTCACTGTTTTCACATAAGAGTTTGTCAGTAGTGAAAAGTCAGGTGAGCCAAAGATCTTTTCCCTTGTCTCAGCTCAGCCTCCCCCTCTGGCTCCCCCCACCATGTGGACCACTGAGAAGACGAAGGAATTCAAAGCCAGGATGGGAAAGGAGAAGAATGGCCGGATGGTGGTGAAGCGAGGCGAGGTGGTGACAGTCCGCGTGCCAACCCATCCCGATGGGAAATGCATTTGCTGGGAGTTCGCAACAGATGACTACGACATTGGATTTGGAGTCTATTTTGACTGGACCACAGTTACCAGCACTGCCATTACTGTTCAGGTCAGCGAATCCAGTGATGAGGAGGATGAAGAGGAAGAGGAGGAAATTGAAGGTTAGTGCAGAATTTATAAGGGTTAATTTGTGGTGCATGTTGCCATGCTGCTGAGAGTGTCTGTCAGATGCTGTAATTTCCATCTACTTTGTTTACTCAGCCCACTTGTTATCTCTGCAGCCTTTTGGGTTCTTGGTTAGGCTGTGATGAGAAAGCGTTTTTCCCTTCCTGCTTTAGCGTATGCCAATGGCTGTCCTTCTCCAGGAGCAGAATTAAAATTGAGCATGTTAAGAATAAAATCAGAATTCACTTGTTCTACCTCATAAAAAGATTAGGGTCTGAGATTTTAACTGGACTGTTTTTCTTAGCCTCTCACTGAGAGGCTGAGAAATTTCTGGAGGGTGAGTAGGAGCAAAAAGGTTTTGTTTCTGGGGTGGTTTTGTCTGGTTGTTTTGTTTGTTTTTATTTTTCCCCCTCAGTACATCAGTAGCTCCTGCTGACTGCATTTGAGAGGATTGCTAGCTGGGTCTTTGTACTTGTGAAACACACAATGATGTTGCGTGTTCCATGGCTTCAGTGTATGTGTGACCAGTGTGACTGGGGGATGGTGTCTGAAATGAATTTTGCAGATTCTCCAAAGAGGGGAAGGTTCCTATAGGAGGAATCCTCTTAGAGAAGTGAATTGAGGACATATACACAGTGAGGTTATAGCTAAGAGCTTTCCTGCCTTTCTTTTGCTTCAAGTCTATATCACTGGACCACTGTTGTGTGTATAAAAGCAGTGAGGTGTCTAAAAATTAAGTCCAGGGAGAGGAGAGAAGAGAAGGCTGGCAGGCAAGCGGATACTGTCCCATCAGTATTCCCAAGAGAACCAGTTCCTTGGGAAAGAAGATGAAAGAAGAAAGGCATGTCCTTCGATAAGGAAAGCTGGATTTTGTGGGTATTGTCTGCAGAAAGGTCAGAGCAGATGCTATGGGTAACGCTGTCAGAGTTAGCCTTCCATATATCTGTATGCCTCTACTGCATTCTGGTCTTGTTTATCTTTTTCTGGGACTACCTAGTGGCTTAACTGTCTCTGGCCTGCTTGCTTGTCTCCTCTCTTCCATTCAGGTCTCGCCCCTGTTGGTGATGTGGAAAGGGGCTCCAAAAGCTATCTGCGGAACCGCTACGGGGAGATCATGCCTGTGTATCGGCGCAACAGCCATCGGGAGGTGCAGGCAGGCAGCCACGAGTACCCGGGCGAGGGCATCTACCTGCTGAAATTTGATAACTCGTACTCTCTCCTCCGCAATAAGACTCTGTTCTTCCACGTCTACTACACCAGCTGAAGCAGCGGGAAGGGGCAGGGACGGCAGGCAGGTAATGGTGAGCGTAGCAGGCTGCCACCCAGCCCTGGCACCGCTTGATGGGCACTGCTGTGTGACAGAACCAAGGCACAATTCTGCCGGCTCCTCTTCAGACACTAACTGGTTTCTCCCTACACCCTCTTTCCCCGCTCTCCCAGTGGAGAAAGGTAATTGTGACTGCCTGGTTGTCCACGGGCAGCTGCTTTCTGTAAAACTTCAGGAGGTCTGCTCTGTGCAGGCATCGGGCTGGGCCTTTGTTTCCCAGCTGGTAAATGCCCAGAGGCCAGGTTCAGGTGCTCGTGGTTTCGATCTGTTGCACTGGTACGAAATGAAGTGAAAATATTCTTGATCTGTTACTATTTTTGTGAATAACTTTTTCCAACTCTCCTGCTGCATCTGCATCACTAGAGGGCAGCTGTCAGCTGCAGTGAGCCAAAAGCACAGCTGGCTTGTCACCTAGCCACTGATAATCTTGTCACCTACCACCATTACATGTCACCAGCAGCCAGTGCTTCCCTCACTCCTGTGGTTGAGGGTGCAGCTGGCCAGTAGCCCTTGCTGCGGTGGCTATGCCATGCTATGATGGGCAGGCCCCAAACAGCAGCCATGGCATATGTTTGAACAGGGGTGGGGGTAAGGGTGCACACCTAGAAGTCCTTAAGAAGGTGTTCCTACACATTAAGAATTGTGTGTATGCCTGTTGGTTGTAGGGATACATAAATGATTAAAACTTCAGTGACCACCAAGAGGTTTTTTCTGTAATCCAGATGTGAAGCAGAAGAAATTGCTTACTGCTGTGCTGAATAAAGCTTGGAGTACAACCAATAAATATACAGGAAATGTTTCCCAGAAGCAGCATGTTGGTTCACTAGTATTGCTGCCGGCTGGATAATACCATATGTAGCAAGGAAAAGGCTCCCCAGAGAAGTGTAGCTTGTCAGCTGCTATTGCTGTTGCAAAGGTATTGTTAGAAAAGAACATCTCTGCTCAGAAACTCGGAAGGTGTGGGATTTAACCAATCCTTTCTGTGAAACAGAATCAGCAAGGCCGTTGCTGACCCCGACCGCATGGTGCAGGACGGAGTTCCTTGGCATGTTTGGGTGGCTAGCGATGGCATTGGTGATCAAGTACTGGCAGAGTTGAGCAAGGATTAAGTTAATCCTTCAGAGATGAATTTTAAATCATGTTTATCTGTAACTGTTGTTTATTTTAATATTTTTAACTTGAAATCATTCTCTTTTCTAAGAATACTGCTGTATTTACATTTTGATACCTCTTTGCAGAGACACAAAATGGCTGTTTGCATGGTGATTCTAGTAGAGTTCTGAATTTTATTTTTAAATCCTCCAGGAAAAGCACCTCTAATTGGTCCGTTCCTTCTATTGAGAGGGAATAATGGACAAAATGATTCTGGGGTAGTTAAAGCCAAAGATTTCACTCTCGTAGGAGGGCTGCATATTTCCTATTAAGGCTATATCGTAATGCTGTGCAATTTGCTCCATATTCAAGCTCTTAACTATCTCTGCTTACTTATTCACTGCCCCAGAGCACTTAGTAGGTCAAAAATGATAGGAGAGAGCAGTCAGTCTGCAGTGGAGCAGGTCAAGCTGGGAGCAGGGGGAGCGGAAATGCAAAGACCACTGGTTGGAGCACGGTGGCTTTCTGGGTGAGTAGGCAGGGACCAGAGCTGGCCAGGGTTAAAGGAGCAGAGTTGTTGCTGCTTTGTGCCCTGAGAGGGGGAGAAAACAGCTGCCTTTCTCGAGAGCGAGCACACACTTGGGCTGGGGGGGAGCTGCAAAGCTGCCTTATTCAAGCAGGGGCAACAAGAAGACAACCTTGCAGGTAAACAGAATAGGCTTGGTATCTGTCAGAGTAAGATGCTCTTTCATTTAGCTGCTTGGGGAGGACTATTCCTTCTTTTAGCCTCTCTTGTGGAAGGTGAAGGACCATCCTGTGGCCTTGGTACAGCACTTGAATCAGGCCTGAACAACTTGGGTAAGGCTCTCTCCCTCTTTTTTTCCCATCCTTTGTCTATCAAATTCCTGGACACTAAACAGAAGAAGGTAGAAAAGGCCCTTCAGTCTGAGCACAATGTCAGCACTGCCCCACTCGATGACTGCCTTTGGCCCTTTGCTGGGAGATCAGAGAACCCTGCGCGCACTTGCTGGTTAATGTATGATGCCCTGTCTTTCATCCACTCCACTTTCTAATTAGGATTTATTTACGATGAAGGCAACTCTGACCTGTACATACATTAGATATTTCAGAATTATTGATCCTCAGTTGCATGGCTTATTGCAGGCTGGTGGGTTTTCTCCACTAAAAAACTGTTTGCCTTATAGTGTGGCCTCCCTGTTGCTAACTCGCAGCTACTTCCCCTTCCTGTCTGTTTGTTGCTCGTATTAAGCTTCAAAATACATTTTGTCATGTTGTAAGAAGTTAATAAGGCCCAACTCACAACCAATTTTGATCACTCACTGACACGTAAATGCTATGTGCCAGTTTTCAAGCCATTAGTTAGTGGTTTTAGTTAAGTTGCTCTGTAGGTGGTAGTCCTGTTGCTCAGTTACAGCTTTCTGAAGTGTGGACCAACCTTTAACGAGGCTCAGGTCACTTGTTTGGAACCGTCCCTGTCTCTGTGTCTCATTGACTTAAGCCCAACAGCAGCATTGAACGTGGTACTTCATCCTGATCAGCGTGTGCCTGGTCTACACACGCAGTGTGCCCATAGATGGGCCTGCCACGGTGACGCTGACAGCGCTCGGTGTGTGTTATTTCTCCACTTCAGTTTCCCAGAAGTATGTGGTATCTCTCATGAACACAAGATAGTTTTAGGCACAGAATATTTCATGTGCAGGAAACACAAGCTCCACAGCTGTACAGGATAATTCTTCTTTTGTTTTGTTTTTTTTTTTTAATTTCCATATTACGTGAGTGTGTTGTTTCTCAGGTATTCAGATAGCATTCATTATCCAAGTGACAACTTCTCTTTGGAAGGATAGTCTTTATTCATTTTCTGATAAATCCAATAGCTTGGCTGTGTGGCTGGTGATTAACAATAGCCATTCCCATTAAAAATAGAACCTGTAATTGGTTCAAAGAAGTGTCTTATTTCTCATGCATCCTTTTTATTGTAGTTCAAACTATCTCCTGGATTTGTATCCAATCCTGCAGTCTGGCTGAGGCAGTTATGGAAACTCTCATAATTTTAATTAGAGACCTTTGGAAATAGACTGTGGGTCTAAAAAGACAAATGAATTAAAAAGGCAGTTGTACTTCAGAGAGGAAAATTAATCCTCAAGAAAGGAAAATTCCTTCTTTGTTTCTGTGGAAGGAAGACTTCAGATAAGTTTTTAAAATGTGTTTCTTCTCCCTGTAAATTGTCTAGAAATTCAAAAAGCTAAATCAAGGAAGAAGCTTCTTTTGTATTTTGGGTTTGCTTTTGAGAAAGCACAAAATTGTTTTCCATTTTGTTTTGAATATAATTTAGATCTAGAAATACGATTTACATATTCAGCCAGAGATATAAGACAGTCCTGTAGTGCAGGACTTGTATAAAAATTAGTTTGTATAGTTTTTTATTTATAATAATGTTGAGAATCTGGGCATTTTTTTATGCCAAAGAAGGTCATATGCTCTCCATCGTTTTCTCTTTTTCCCCCCTTATGTGTAATGTAGCAGCAGGAGTTTAAAATGTATGTTTTACTGAGGACAGAGACTTAAAATGGCTTAAATCCGGGACCACTTGTACTGATTTAATTTACTCATAAACCCTTTGGAGGCCTGTAACATAGATTCTTGTGAAAGGTGATCAGTGTCAGACATGAGCTAGTTGTAAATGAATGCTTGGGACCCATGTAATAGTTACACAGATTATTATCGGTAATGAGCCATTTACATGGACAGCTAAGATGCAGAAGAGAAGGAGCTCAGTTGTCTGACTTCAGCTGCTAAGAAGAAAGTGGTGTTACTGTGCAACCTGGTCTCAAAGACAGCCCCATGTCTTTCTTTTTGGCTCTACCCCCCGTGCACTTGTCTTCTTGTAACTGTGTGTGCATGTCACCTTCTTCTGTGGGCCAGCCATCCTGGTGCAGGGCCTGGCAGGTGGGTTAGAAGGGAACCTTGTCACATCTCTCGTTGCTGAAAGATACTCATTACTGTGGGGAATTAGGGTTGAGAATGAATCCCTAAATGAGTTCACTTTTATCCCCAATGCTTTTACCCTTCCTTCTTGTCTCACTACCCCTACTAGAGCTACTCCACAGAGGATTTATCACAAGGTGCCTTAGGAATAAGGAGCATGTTTGAAATAAGAGCCATAGATGTCATTAATCCAAGGCATTCCTTCTCCTTGTTTCTCCACCCATTTGGGTAGAGGGGAGGCACTTCCTAAGGTCAGGCAAGGAAAGCCCCTGTAGGCTGTTCCTGGAGATTTAAGCTGTTCATTAGGCTGCCTTCTTGCTGTAAGATGAGTAGTAGAATGGTGTTAGAGTTTCCTGGTCTTTGCCTCTTGAAATCATATGCTGCTGTTAGATATCGAGGAACACCAGAGAACCACTCCTTTTGATATGCTGATGCTAAACCTGAGGACCAGAGCAACACTAGATAGATATAGAAGAGCTTTCCTTGTGACCATTCATTGTTTTCTCTAAAAAGAGTGTCCAAATCCAGTGTTGTGAGTGGTGTGTGCTGATGTGCATTGAGGCTGGATAAGAGACCAAAGCAACAAAGTATTTTTTTGATCTACAAATGTGAAAGAAAAGACTGTTTCTCCTATTCTCTTATCTGGGAAAATAATGGATGTGACAGTGTCATGTAAATGTAGCAGACCATCTTGATTGGTAGAATGGAAAGAACTGATCACGTTAAATACATTGGCAAATTAGACTGTGAAATAAACCAGGAGTTTAGCAGGAATCAAAGTGCTACGTCATTTATCTAAAGAAGTGGATTTGCCATAAATGCCAAATAAACAAAGTTTTGGAAGGTACATAAAACTACAGAGTTCAAGTACATCTTGCTAGGAGGATCATTTTCTGTGGGGTTATTCCACGTTTGCCTCCAAAGTGTCTCTGACAACTTATTCTGAACCACTGGTACTGTTGCAGGTGAAGACACATCATCAGGCTGGGCAGATGATGGGTCTGACTCCCCTTGGCTTTTTTGCATTCTGTTCTGGATTTTACATGTTGCTTCCTCAGAAGCTTCATCACAAGAAAGGTACTCATTATCAGTCGGGGAGAGAGGATAAATTTTGTGATCCACCAGTGAGGGTTATCTGGTTTAAGCCCATCTGGACTGGTGAGTCATGTCCCTTGGGCAAGAAGCTGGCTGCCCACCATTAAGCTCCTAAGGAGCCTTTGCCAAGTAATGACCTTGATGTTTAGGAGCTGCATTTTGAAATTCTAAATAGCAGGAGATGGTCTCCCTGCAACCTCCAGGATGCCCTGGTGACTGCTCTCCTCCAAGAGAAGCAGTCTGCTCTCAACTCACTGCTCCAAGCTGCTAGCACAGACTTTCAATGGGGAGCATCTTGTAGCTGGTCATATCTCTTTCAGAGCTGTATTCTTGTGAACTGCAATGGTTGTCTGTCAGTCCTTATCGATGTGATGTGTGAATATTTTTCATGTCCTGTGATTTCAAAATTGAGTTCTCGGCGCCAACCGTTTGCTTTTCCTGTCCTCCCAAGATAGGAGCTTTAAATGGAGGAGAGGGTATTTTAACAAGATGTGGCACTGAACCTCTTGCTGAAGGGCACATATGAAGACTGTATTTATAGTGTGCTTGCATTCCTTCTACGCTTGGTTTGTATTGTTTATATTTGATGTGTTGTGGCTGATTTGTAATAGCATATCGTAACTTACACCCTTTAAATAAACTTTTCACTATGCAACCAAGGACTTTGTTTCCTGTTTAAAGCAAATGACTGTCTTGATATGAAAAACTGCACTACAGGAAAAAAAAAACGACCAACCAAGAATACAATTAAACTTAAGTTTTATGAGCAAAGAGGAGACAAATACTTTGCAGTGTACTGGACATTCTGGTTGCAAATGGATAGGAAAAATGCTCTGCTGTCAGCTGCTGCTGCTCGTTCCAGCCAGGAAATTTTCTGTCCATTGAAATGACTTGGTGAGATATTTTTTTTTTTTTAAATTCTTCAAATTCTTTGCAATGCTTGAGATTATACTGAATGCCTGAAGAATGGGAGAGGAACAAGTAAGTAGCCAAGCTCTTACCACAGACATGGGTGGAGTTCTGAGAAACTGGACCGGCACCTTGCAAGAGTTTGAATGTTTTACCCTCTGGTGCTTCATACTGGTACTTTTCACCCCTGTTTGCAGAGATCCCCTTAGCTAACTGTTCTGTTACTTCAGCTTTTCAGTCTGAAGGATTAAAACAATTCCTCTTCAATTATCTAGAGAAAAGTGTCTGCCCTTCATAGCTCCTCATAGCTGCTTGCCCATCAATGTTACCTTACTATAAAGACTGTATTTGTATGGCCTGAGGGAAGCACACCTGCTGGTGAAAATAAAGAATGATACCTGCAGCCAGGGCCATCCCTCCTCGCTTATCTCCTTAAGGAGTTTGGTAGGACAAGTGCTGCAGAAGTTCAATTGTCTTTTTAGTAGCACTGTGTTTTCTTGGAGCACTTTTATAACATAATCAATGGGCAGGAGCAATCACAAAGCAAGATGACCCAAAGGGGTTAGTAACTCTGTCAAGCTGAAGATGTTTCATCTTGTTTTAAGACCACCAAAGAGAAACAGCGCTACAGCTATTTCATTGCCACTCACTGGGAATCCCTGTCCTCGCGCTTGGCTCTGGTGTGGCCAAGAGGAAAACTAAGCAACTTGGTGGGGGAGTGATGTGAAATTTCACGATATTAGTTCTTTCCCACCCTTTCTGTAATTTTGAGGGTCGGGCTGCAGCAGAAACACTCTGGAGGCAAGCTGCCCAGTGAAGGTCTCAGAAGAGGCTTTTGGTGGCCCTGCACTGGGAAGTGACTCTCGCCTGTTTCGGCTGAGCAGGGAGAGCATCGTTCCTGGGCTGCTGAAGTCCAGTCATTGCTTCTGTTGGTGTTTGATTATCAACAAACAGTGCTTAGCAGGGCTATTCATTGTCACACAGGTGGTGTTGGTTACTTGGTGGAGTCTCTGTATTAAAGCATACACTGATTTAGAACCACAGAATGGTTAGAGTTGGAAGGGACCTTAAAGATCATCTAGTTCCAACCCCCCTGCCATGGGCAGGGACACCTCCCACTAGACCAGGTTGCTCAAAGACCCATTCAGCCTGGCCTTGAACACCTCCAGGGATGGGGCATTCACAACTTCCCTGGGCAACCTGTTCCAGTGCCTCACCACCCTCACTGTAAAGAATTTCTTTCTGGTATCTAATCTAAATCTCCCCTCTTCCAATTTAAAACTGTTACCCCTTGTCCTGTCACTACACTTCCTGACAGAGTCCCTCCCTGGCTCTCCTGTAGCTCCCTTCAGATATTGGAAGGCTGCTATAAGGTCTCCCTGGAGCCTTCTCTTCTCCAGGCTGAACAACCCCAGCTCTCTCAGCCCGTCCTCACAGGAGAGGTGCTCCAGCCATCATCATCATGATGATCATCTCCATGGCCCTCCTCTGGACCTGCTCCAACAGGGCCATATCCTTTCTATGTTAAGGACAGTATTTAATCACTGTTTATTGTGGATAATTGCTGCCTCAGGGTGGAAGCCCTGACTGCGGAGCAGAAGCAAGTTCCACACCTGCTCCTTTTAATGAGAAAGGAGCACAGATGCCACCATTCAGGAATCGGCAACCCAACTGCCCCTCGCTGCAAAGTGATCGTGTGGCCTGGGCTCTGCCCATTACTGTAATTAGCTGCGGAGGAGCGGTTGTGGCCGTCGAGCCGCCGGCCTTGCCGTCCCCGACCTCCCCTCCAGCTGCCAGGGCTTCTCCCCGGCACCGGCACCCGCTCCGAGCGCCCCCCGAGGCGGCGGGGGCGGGCCGGGCCCCTCGGGGCGGCCGGAGGAGGGGCGCGGGCGGCCGGCCATCGCCCCCAGCTGCGCGGCGGTGCCTTAATGTCGGCGCCCGGCGGCCCGGTCAGTCGCCCCCCGCAGCCATCATGCTGCCTGCCCGCCAGCGGGCCCGGCCGGGGGGCAGCGCCCAGGAGAGCGGCCTGTCCTTCTACGTGCTGTGGGCGCTGCAGGAGCCGCCGCGGCTGCTCGGCAGGTGCGGACCGGCCCTGGGGGCTGCGGGGGAGCGGTGGGGCTGGCCCGTCCGCCCTGTCCCGTCCGTCCCTGTCCCGGGGTGGGCTCCCCCCCGAGCCGGGGTGACCTGCTCGCCCCCCCGGAGCTGCCCAGCCCACACGGCCGTGTGGCCCCGGCTCATGGCTGCACTCCCTTCCCAGGCAACCGCTTCTCTTCTTCATCGCATCCTCTCTGCTGTCCCCTCTTTAAATGACACCACAAACCCTCTCCTCCCGCCCTCCCCTGGCATAAACGTGTTTTCAGGCCTTTTCATACGTTTTCTGGGTTGTCTGTTTGGCTCCTTGATGATTGTCTCTTGTTTTCTGTCCTTTTTCTTCCCTGGCAGCCAGTCCAGCAAGATGGGTTTCCAGGCACGGCTGCCGCTGCCCTTGCCCAAGCAGCTGGTGGTGTTTGGGCTGGGAGACTGGAGCTGTTACTCTCCGGACACGAGCATCGCAGTGGACGTGCTGGTGTCCCCGGGCGTTGCACCGCAACGGGTCGGCACGCTGGAGCCCACCTGCAGGTCACGGTGGAGCTGGCACTGCCGAGGTGTCCGGAGGGGTGTCCTGGAAAAGCTTTCCACTCTGTGGTGCTCCCTCGTTGTGCTGGTGTCATCCCAAAGCTGCTCAGGCCTCCCGGTCCTCCACCATGGTGTTTTCTCTCTAGCGGTGCTTTCAGCTTCCTTTTGACTGCTTTCCAGGTTGGATGTTTTTCAGCTTTGGGGTGTTTGTTAACAGCTACTGTGGGAGCAGGAATTTTTCCCTGGTCAGTGTCACTTGTGGGCTGAAAACCCATGAACCCATGGTCCCCTGTACAGGTCTCTGGTGTGGGAAGGTGACTGGAGGACAGATATTTTCATGGCCTCGTTGAAAGAGATGGACAAAGGCAACTCTGTGGAACTTATCCTGACTGTCAACGGACAGGTAAAAGACCATTTGGGACCCCTGCCCTGGGTCCCAAATGTTGTCACTTCTGAGCTACAGAACTTCCTCTCCCATTCTCTCCTTTTCCTTCTCTTTGCTACTCCAAGGCAGAGGTGCCTCATGTGGATCTGTTAATGCACGTCTGCACTGAGCCTAAACCTCTGTGATCCTCCAGGCCTGTTGCCTAAACACAGCTTTGCCAAAATACCTCATGTGTCGCAGGAGACAGGCAGCAGAGAGTGTTCACTTCCAATTCCACTATCTCCTGGGTCTGTGGTACTTACACAGTTGTTCCACCTTGTGCTGAAGCCCTTGAGTTTAGCATCCCCCAGTGCCTGCCTTGGCTTTGCTTGCTTTATTCTGTCAGTGCTGGAGATGAAAGCTGGGCTATTTCCTTGCAGGGAATCTGTCCCTTGCAAGACATTTTTTTTGCTTACCCTTTGTGGATGGAGCCCAGTACACTTGGCGTGTCCTTTTCATCTCACTGTCACTGTTGCTGCCACAGCTGCTCCGAGGTGTCTCCAGCAGTACACCCGTTCATCCCTTCCTCGTCCCAGAGACCAGCCAGTCACCAGTGCTCCCAGCAGATGATATGCCTCTTGGCCGGGACCTGGAGGATCCTACTGTGGTATGTGTACCCCAGAGCCTTCCTCTCATTATGTCACCTTCTTAGTATCTTCTCCCTCACTCGTAGCTGCTCAGTTGATGTCTAGCAGAAACATTTGCTGCCACTCTCTTAGCAGAGATCTGGCAAAGCAAGTTTTGGAGCCAAAGATTCCCTCCTGCTAAAGATAGTGATTCTCTCCATTGAAATGCCTTTGGAAGGTTTGAATTTAACAGCCCTTGGTGGGATGGTCGATCAGGCTGGTTACTCCTAGGACAGGTGGCCTTTCTGCCTTTCCAGTTGCCCTGTGCTAGCTGGCCCCATTCCAGCCAGCAGCTAGAAAGTGGACCGCTGGGCATATAGCAGCAGGTAGCTGTGTTGCTCAGCGTACTGTTGGCAGATAATACTGTTGGCAGCTCCTGGCCCTTAAGACTCAACAGGAAGATGAGCCTGAAAACAGTCACCATGTAAAACTGATCTCTGGCCCGGTAATAGACAACTCAGAGGTCTGTCTATTTCAGTGCTGATTTCACTGGGACTCTTGTCATAGGTAAAGAGCCAGAGCTTGGAGGTGACTGCTAAAGCATCCAGGCCTGGGAAGGACATCCACCCGCCGCTGAGGAGCCTAGCAGTACCCTGTGCCCTGAAGGCACCACCTGGCAAGGTGGAACACAGGGAAGACTGGAGGAAGAGCCCTGTCCGCCCCAAGAAGCCCAGGAAAGTTTTATTTGAACCCACAGCGTCTGAGAGAGATCTCAATGAAGAAGGTAACTCTGGCAGCTTCTAGGTTTATTTTACAGGTCTTGTCTGAATGACCTGTCAATGCTGCTGGGCAACAACTTCCCAGTCCATTTCTGTATATACCTCCAAGGCAAGATGGGTTTGGCTGTCTTGGCTTGCAAAATACTGAGAACTGCTCCTTAGTCCCAGATAAACTGCTTGATGAATTTTTGCCTGTTGGGAAAATGCCAGAAAGAGAACATGTCATACTCTTGGTGCCAGCACTCCCTACCATAACATAATATACCTGTCTCTTCATATAAGTAAAAGTGCTTTATAAATGAAGGCAAGTATCATTAGCCTTGTTTTACAAAAGAGTACACTGAGGCACAAGGAAGTTACC